AAGAGGGAGCATTTGGGAGTAGTCCCATCTTATATCATCCTTCCAACCCACTATCCTAAGAGATTAAGTATGCATGATGAGCGGAGGGAGTGTGCTCTGTGCTTGAATCTGCATCTACCGCACACATGTGAATTGTTCGTGTCGGATGCAAATTGTGATAAAATCAGTGCATTTCATCCTGCTCCAAAATGAAACGAGCTTCGGGGTTTTATTCCCCAATATAAGTCTAGGAAAGGGAACACAACAAAACTCATCAGTATCACAGGAGCCACATTGTCTCATTTCCAATGGGTGTCAACAAGAGCCCCATCATGCTTGAGATTGCCCATATGTCTGTCCTTTGTCTGCAAACCAGCCTTTCTGGGGGAGATGCAGCAGAAGGATTTGTTACAGCAGAGTGGCGAGAAAGATATCACAGTTGAGGCTATTCTTGCTCCAACAGGTGGTTCCCCTAATGATCCAGATGATTCGGACGCTGAGGAAGAGGTGTTGTGTCGTCCTTTGGAACTAGATGCTTCAATGCTAACAGCAGGCTCGAAAAACTGCTTAGCAGGAAGCATTGAATGTATAAAGCGGCCAGCGCAGCACCAGATCTAAAATGTACCTTAAAGATTGTGGTAGTTTTCTTATCAAACTTGGTTCAATTGTTACCTGAAACTGCAAATTTTCTTCTCCAAGGGGGCTCTGCCCCCCTAGATACCCCCCGCAAGGCTCCGCCCTTGACCCGCTGGGGCTGCCCCCAGACCCCCAAAATACTGGGGGCGAAGCCCCCAGACCCCCCTTTAGTAAGAGGGGAACCGCCTTGAGAGACATTTTGCTCTATCGCACAATACTCTCTTAAAGGGGTACCCTTGCTGTATACCGTCTATAAAATATATTGAAGATCGTACAAAACTCTTGCTCGGGAACCATTAAAAATACGCTACGCCGGACTTGCAACTCGATTTTTGCGCCTTTCAATAACGTGTGTGCGTAATGCAACCAAACTTCTTTCAGCACAACTTGTTTGCTGCTGTCTGTGTCTTCCTTATCGAGACCACCACCTAGTGCCAGTGAAGCCATGGATCCAGATAAAAAATTCAGTCCACCAGAGTTGCTGGTATCCCAGTACAATTGTCCAACACATAAAAAACATCACCACCAGAGCGCACTGTTGCTGTCCTTTTGTTTTGTGTTGTTCCAACCCAACCCGTGAACAAGCTGAATCTTCCTTCTTCTTTCATTAGTACTAGCCAGTGGCACTTCCAATTCCTCAGAGACGGGTTCTTCCTTCATCCGCTTCTGCATACTGAGCTTTTTACATATCTGTTCCTCAACTTTCATTGCGCAGAGTGACAAACAGTATGTAGCATAAAAGCTTCATTGTGTTGTGCCAAGTCCTCGCTTTAACAGGTTGGAGATTTGGTGCATTGGAGTAATGAAGATGGCTGGATCGTCTGCAGGTATGGATGCTGCTGTGCTACTGTCATCAAGAAAAGGAGGGCTAGGGTTTGACTATGACTGGTGACATCTCAGTTTCTAGCGGCCCCACACTTTCCTACACTAGTTACAACTGGGACAATGATACCGCCACTAGATTTTCAATTCAAGCCATGTTGTTCACCATGTTGGGAGCCGGCACTCTGGGAATGGTCAAAAGTTGGTCTTGTCAGACGGTATTGTCAGACTGGGACTTCATTTGTAAGGATATGCTGAGTTGCCTCCACCATCCGCAGCTTTCTTGTCGTCATCTCCTGATACACTGCGTTGCCTCTGCAAGCGCTATCATGGATTGTCATTATGATTGTCATCGTTGTCTTCATTGTTATTGTGGATCTTGGTGAATAGGTCATCCTCCATTCAACCTATGTTTTGTGTGTGTATGCTGACACCAACAATGTTTTGCCTTAAATTGTCATCACCTGGATCTGCTACTACTATTGATACAGCAGTGTATGTAGTGTCTGCTTTATTTGACGCAAAACAATACTCGGCTCTGCATCATCACCACCACACAGATGATTCAGAGATGGTTCAATAGTCTTGTTCGAATGGCTCATTGGCTTCCTTCAGCCACCTTCGTCCCTTGTTGGCAGCACCTGCTTTTCAATCTGCAACATGTAATCATTCTACAAGGCGGCAACTGCTTTGTTGCTTTTCAGGTTTTGCTCTCTTGTCTAGTTTGATATTATTCATATTCCCCACACTGATTTGTCAGACTGGGACTTCATTTGTAAGGATATGCTGAGTTGCCTCCACCATCCGCAGCTTTCTTGTCGTCATCTCCTGATACACTGCGTTGCCTCTGCGAGCGCTATCATGGATTGTCATTATGATTGTCATCGTTGTCTTCATTGTTATTGTGGATCTTGGTGAATAGGTCATCCTCCATTCAACCTATGTTTTGTGTGTGTATGCTGACACCAACAATGTTTTGCCTTAAATCGTCATCACCTGGATCTGCTACTACTATTGATACAGCAGTGTATGTAGTGTCTGCTTTATTTGACGCAAAACAATACTCGGCTCTGCATCATCACCACCACACAGATGATTCAGAGATGGTTCAATAGTCTTGTTCGAATGGCTCATTGGCTTCCTTCAGCCACCTTCGTCCCTTGTTGGCAGCACCTGCTTTTCAATCTGCAACATGTAATCATTCTACAAGGCGGCAACTGCTTTGTTGCTTTTCAGGTTTTGCTCTCTTGTCTAGTTCGATATTATTCATATTCCCCACACTGATTTGTGTGGACACATTGCAAAGACGGAGGGACCAGTGTACCGGTACCAGCACCAAAATCATATTAGATATAGTATATGTACAGTCAAATCGTATCTAGTAGAGCCAACAGCTCTTTTACTTTGTCTTCAGGTGTTTTTAAAAAGCTTCGATTCCGCTACCGACTTTTGAGTACAAATAGTAACTATCGTATCATACAGTATAAAATACAAGCAGTATTTGAACTTGTGAAAACTCGTGAATTATTTGATGGGTCTGTCCTTCCACTCCGATTTGGTTCACCAGTGAGCAAACAAAAGTTAGAGCACGTTAACCTTGGCTTGGCGCCAAGACAAGAATATATTTGTTTACCTAGAACCCTTCGCTTGCCTCTCGACTTCCCGTATTGTGGAATTGAGAAGAAATACTAAATTTGTGGCAAAGGGAAAGAGCAATAATTCCCTCATCCCTCAGTCGTCGCCTGCGGTTCGGCATTCTTCTTGTGTGGAGTGCCAAATCAACAATGTAGTGAAGACTGCCTAGATCCAAAATTTCCACCAGTTTTGATGGATTTATCGAGTCAATTTAATCGAACAGGACATGAATGTGGGAGGTGGAGGTCAGACTGACCGTGCCGGTGTCTTTTGGTAAATATAATGTGCTTGTAGTATACGAGTAATGAGCCGTTTGACCTATGCGACTACTACAATGCATGCAGGCCAAATTTTTGAATTTCGTATTATCGAAACGGAAACAAGCATGCATTCTGCAGCAAAAAAAACAAAATGCAATGCACGCTGCACGCTGCACGCGAAAAGGGGTTCGATAATATTGCACCTTAGTCTTAACAACGTTGAGAATGTGGCGAAGCTTAGCGAGGGAAGATGGTAGCCAAGATTGGTAATCTTGATACCTGTATAAGATACTTTGGATACGTTAGCCGTTGGGGTGCAGACGTTCAACAACGGCTATCATCTGATGGACAAACAGACGACTTTCGACTCTCCCTCTCATCCGGAATTCAACACAAAACGTCATCACTGAAATTTGCGAAACAAATAGATCTGAAAGATGTTGCATCTCACTGGTGAGCAGGCGAGTTCAACAACCGGAGTTGTCTACGTCCCTCTGCTCGATGCAAATGTACAAGGGTTAGGGTGGTTGTGCAAAGGTGTTACCACCCTTGCACTCGAAAGCGATTGCTCTTGAAAGGTTCACAAGACTGTGCCTTTGTGAAGTAATCAGCATCTTGGAGCGATGTGTCCAGCTCGTGGATGGCAACAGTTTCTGGGCCAACACCGTCTTTGGTGACGTGTTGCCAGAACCAGTGCCACTTGTTGAGATACCAGCGGGTGCGAGATGTGATTCTTTGATTGGTGGCCAGAAAATATGCTCCTTGGTTGTCTTCAAATGCTGAGGCCCGAATGGTGGCGCGGATGCCGTTGTCAAGTTCAACGTGGTCGGTGGCTTCAATGAGAAGACGCTTCAATGGAATTAAGGTCTTTAGAGCAGAAGAGAGAGCATTGTATTCGGCCTCGAGCGTGGAGCAAGTGATGGATGTTTGTAGCTGGGAGCGCCAAACCAGTGGGCAATTGCTCAACTTTACAATAAACCCGGTGCGTGATCGAACGGAGTTTGGATCAGTGTGAGGCTCTGTATTATAGAGTCCACAGAAGTCGGCATCGACAAACAAAGATGGTTCAGTCGAACTTACCCAGACTGGTTTGATTGACAAAGTTTTGGAAGCAGCCGGAATGACCGACTGCAATCCCAATCAAATCCCCGCTACTGGTCCCCTTGGCAAAGATCCTGATGGTGAACGTATGAACGAAGAATCCATGTCTTCCAGGTCTCCTCTCACACAGTATCTTGCCTTGAATTTGGTCATTTCTCCGCTTGGATTTCTCTTGACACGAAAGACCCAAGTTCCAGGAATGATCTTGGTCTTCGCTTTTGACATTGGGACTTCAATCCAGGTGAGCTTTCCTTCAA